AGGACTCTTCCGACCCTATCCGTCCCCATCCAGGGGGAGATGCTGTTCCTATACCTCGCAGTTTCGGAGTTTGCAGTAAGCGGAGTACTTATCCGTGAGCATGAACACCGACAGAAGCCGATTTACTACATCAGCAAGGCGCTCCTGGACACAGAGACAAGATATCTGCCCCTAGAGAAACTGGCCCTGTCCTTGATCACCACTGCAAGGAAACTGCGCCATTACTTCCAGGCTCACCCGATCACTGTCCTAACTGATCAGCCCTTGAAGGCAATTTTGAGGAAAGCTGAACTCTCCGGAAGGATCTCCAAATGGGCTGTAGAGTTGGGGGAGCACGACATTCATTTCAAATCCCGGACTGCAACAAAGGGTCAAATACTGGCAGACTTCATAGCCGAGTTCTCTGGGGAGAATCCTGTTCTAGAAAGACCATCTCCTCCCAACTTAACATCTCCAACAAATGTTGAAGGATCGACATGGCTTTTATGTGTGGATGGTTCGTCAAACAGTAAGGGGTCCGGGATCGGTGTCTTGCTGACCTCTCCAGAAGGGATTATTGCAGAGCAGNCATCTCCTCCCAACTTAACATCTCCAACAAATGTTGAAGGATCGACATGGCTTTTATGTGTGGATGGTTCGTCAAACAGTAAGGGGTCCGGGATCGGTGTCTTGCTGACCTCTCCAGAAGGGATTANCTGAATTAAATGGTGAAGATTCGGATCTTTTCAACTTCTTTTTTATTTTATTTTTTTGGCAACTTGATCTTCTCAATTTCAAATCTTATTAATTTTATGCTCTATTTGGTATGATAGAAAGTTAGAAGAATGAAAAGTTAGAGAGATAAATAAAACTTTATGTTTGGTAAGAAAGGAAAATAGAAATGATGAATTAACTTTCTTTCCATTTCACCAAAATCAATCCTTCCAAAATCGAAAGGAAAGTGGATGAAAAATTAATTATTTGTGTTGAAATGTTTCTTATTTGTCTATATATCTTTTGATATATACATATATTATGTATATATTAATTTTACATAAAAATATAATGATAAAATATGTACTTATATATATTTTAAAAATAAAAATAAAAATTTTAAATTAAAAAAAAATATATTATTTTTTTTTATCTTATCTAGGAGTGAAAATTTTCGACCAAATACGATGACACGACTCGAACTTGACACGGATTTTATGATACGAACTCAATTATAACTCGACACGAACTTAAAAATGACCTGATACGCGAATAAAAAATATAAAAGCTCATATTTAGTTCAACCCGTCAAATTTAAAATCGATATCATCAACTCGTTTATTTAAAAATAAACACTTTCTCTATTTTCTCGTTTGTATGATTATACAAAATTAATACGAAAACAACATGTTTAATTAGTATTATAGATATAAAATGTTAATTATTTGTAACTATTTATTAAGTACTAACATAATTATTATATAACAAAGATATTTTTACTTATTATTATTATTATATTTTATTTAAGTTAATTTTTATTTTGTAGAAAAACTATTAACATGGATTCAATTAAGTGATAATAGAATATTAGCGTTATATTTTTTATTCAAAGTTTATGTGGGTCAACACGAATACGAATACGACACGAAAATAAATAGGTCAAACGAATACGACACGAAAATAAATAGGTCAATTCGCAACTCGACACGACACAATTAGTTAAATGAGTTGCGTTAGGTTTGACTAATATTCGATACAAACACATAATGACTCAACACAAGTCTGACACGATACGACTCGATTGTCACACATAGTTTTAANGACACAATTAGTTAAATGAGTTGCGTTAGGTTTGACTAATATTCGATACAAACACATAATGACTCAACACGAGTCTGACACGATACGACTCGATTGTCACACCTAGTTTTAGCCAGTACAAAAAAAAAATTAGTCATTTTTATTTTCTATCCATCATACCAAACACAAAGAAAGAAAAAATATATCATTCTTATCTTTCTTCCTTGAAAGATAGAAAGTTAATATCTCATACTTTTCATCCTTCCTATCAAACGGAGCATTAATTAAATCTTATTATACTATAAAACAATCAAATTAGAGACGGAGGCATTGAGAAAGCCTCTTTCCCTAAATGTTAATTTACTAGAATTTTGAAATATTTAATTAATTCACTACAATCAAAATATTACAATTTTTTCGTAACCATTTTTACCACTTTTTAAAATTATTTTAAAATTTAAAATTTTAATTATCTTTCTTAATTATTTAAAATATAAATAAATAACATTTTATTATTAATAGAAATTATTCAGAGATATCATGAAAACGAAAAATTTAGAAATAAAATGATAATCAAAAGAGATAATAAATTTTGTACACCGCACTAGATTGCTACTAATTTAATGAAATCATACACCGTCAAATTCAGTGGGATTCATTTGCATGATTTGTGGGTCCGGTTAACACCTATTGCATGTGATTCAATAAATCTACCAGTGAATTATTTGATTTGACATAAAACTAATAAATTTAAAATCAAAAATATCTAAATCCAAAAACCAAACCTCATATGTTACGATAATGAACAGAGGTGTGAAATCATATCGTATTTGTGTAGTTCACGTGTCATGTTATTATTATTTGTGTTATATTTGTGTCAAGATCTATGGAAAAAAAATTTATTTAATTTATTTTGATATTAAATATTAATTTAAATTATTTATTATATATATTTAATAATCGTGTTAATTTTATAATCGTTCGTGTCGGATTCGTATTAAAGTGTCAGAATTAACACCACTAAAAGTGAACACAACTCCAAATTCTCTCCCTCTCTCTCTCTTTAATTGCCATTTTTTTTATGGGTCTCTATCTTTCGTCAATTGCAATTTTTTTATGGGCAAAACATATTGCCATTTGGTGTTAAGTGCTCGTGTGACATGTTTGCCTTATGGCTACCTATTTTAATTATAATAATATTTTTAGATTTAAAACATTAACTTAATCAAATAAAATTAACAGTGAGAGTCCAACTAATGTTAGAACTCACGATCATTTAATGATAATACAAGAATTTTTACAAACACCGGCAAAACCCACTATAAAACGTTGTGTACTGAATGTTGTCTATTCTGTTATCGAAAAAAGTCTCTATTTATTTAAAAGCTATAACATTCGTTTGCTTGTCAGAGTCGAATTGGCGATGAAATTTCTAGCATTTATACAAACGATAAAATTCCTAGCTATTATACAAACGAAATAAATTTTTTTTGTCCTAGTGTAGTTCTCCACAACCTATTACTCTCAAACCACAAATTAATTTTGAACGCCGACAATTAGTGGCGTTTACTAGCCAAAAATTAGTACTAAATTTAAATTAATCAAGAATTAGTGGCGTTTAATATCTCAAGTAATTAGTGGCATTCATTAAACGTCTATACTTAACAATCACAAACAGCGTTTACTACAAACGCTAACGATTAAATGCCAACTATCACTTTTTTTCTTGTAGTATTCAGAGGCAAAATTGTGTCCTAAAGTACCAAATTCTACTCACTAAAACATCACAGCTTAATCTTCAAATAATTTAGCTTTAATCATGTCAACGATCTTGAAAAATGATCAACCACACTTGAACGGAGACTTGACCTAGACCCTTACGAAAGTTAGCAATGAGAAATTTCTCGCAATGCATGAGAGGAAGCATAATAGAGCGATGCCACCCACAGATCCTCAACTTCTTTTCCCAGAAAAAGGGAGAAAGAAGTAGAAAATTTGAAAAAAAAACCTTTTTTTAATGTTTTATTTAATCTCCGGACCTTCCACTTTTAAATTTCAATTAAATTTATCGTCTATATTTATGCGTTCTTCTTCTAATCTCTAGCTTTAATTTATTTAGTTTGGAATGAAATGGTCTCTTTTCCATTAGATAATAATGTCATCAAGAATAGTGCAACATTTATTGTCACCAATGTTGAGTAAGAAACATGTGACAACAAGGGAATAAAAAAAGAGAATCGCATTAAACTCATGGGCTTGGTTTTATTTCGAGACTGACTAACGTTTGTGTATGAATATTAAAATGTTGTCCTGGTCACTACGCCTAGTCTATCTTTTAAGCAATGACTCATGCCCCATGGATAAGTCTATCCAAGAATCCTAAATTTTTCAAGAATTGGATTCTCACCGATGTTTGAATTACTAGAGTCAATATTCGTACAACTCGAGCCCATAAATCAAAAGTTATATATATGGAACAATCGGGTAACAAGAATCTCATACATGAGATGTCCATCACTATAGAGGGAGGAATAAATGTTTGCTACCTAAACGGTCGATTTTAATCAAATTAATCATCTAGCGCAAAAATATATTGAACTCGACAGAAATTTATAGGTATTATTGATGTCAGTTTTTATTAATTGAATCAAATGAACCGAACGATGAATGACAGATGTTGCAAGCAAAGATATTAAGGAATAGAAATATTTGTATTTATAGTAAATTGGGGATGGGGACAAACATCTAAAGCAGAATAAGTGAACACATATGAGAATAGGTAGGGAGAGATTTAGCTAAAACAAACGTGAAAAATTTTCCACGTACTAACGATGGGAATTAATATAGGAATAGGATAGTAGTGTCATTAGACTCTCGTTACTTCTGCACAGATGCATTCTTGTATGTCTGTCTATTTTCATGCAACGTTTTCAGGGATGTCCAATTCCACCACCACCTCCGCCACCAAATCCACCACCTCCGCCACCAAATCCACCGCCTCCACCCCCACCTGCTCCTCCACCAAACCCACCGCCAGCACCTCCTCCTATACCTCCACCAATTCCGCCACCTTTGCCGAATCCTCCGCCGACTCCACCACCAGAGCCACCTCCTATTCCACCACCAGCACCTCCACCAACCCCACCACCTTTTCCGATTCCTCCACCACCACCTTTTCCAAATCCTCCACCGGCGCCCCCACCA